AATTCACTTTTCTAATATATTTATACACTCAAATAAAAATGTTGTGTGTGATTTTGTTTCTATAATAGATTTGAGAAAATAAAAAATTAAGATATATTATCTTTAAAAAAATCAAAATATTTTATCATAACTTTTAAATATAAAAGATGAGTGTTGACTTTATCAAATTTTGTTTTGATTTTTCACTTTTATGGTTTGGTAGTACAAACAAGGCGAGAGGGAAAGGGATGAAAGATCCCATTTTTAAAGTGGCCCAAACCTTTGTAAAAATAAAATAAAAGTATTTAAATTTAGTGTCGTGGCTTCCCTATATATTCCAATAGTGACACCTAAGATTCATGTATTATGATTGTGAGTTGTGATTGACCTTGGGGCTTAGCATATTTTCCATTATCGACCCAAGAGTGGCGCCCGCTAATGGCTTAATGGCTCTAATAAGACATTGTTAATCTAATGTGTTATAATTTGATTTTAATTAGGTATTTATTTAAAATTTTTTTAAGAATCTTAATTGAAATTAATTTTTTATAAATTCGGTTTTAAAGCTTGAATGACATATTTAGAAATTAATTGGGTAAAACGAAATAAAATGAAATAAATTGAATTTGATTGCAAGGAGCTAAAATTTTGAAATTGTGAATTGCAGGTCTAAATTGATAAACTCTAGAGTCATGGGACCAAAACGTCAAGTTTGAGAAACTAGAAGTACTAAACTTTGCATTTTAATTATTAAATGTCCTTACATGTTCTGACAATCAAATTATAGCGTGGAGGTGATCTCGAGTCGTTAAGCTGTATTGTTTGTTTCTTATGATTAACAATTGAATTATCCCAAATCAAAGTATGTGGTAACTAAGGTGATGAAAATTGAGGTTTTACCTAAGAATAGAATAGGGAGATGGCATCACAAATCTAAAATCATAAATAGGATAATAAGATTTTAGCAAATTAAATTTATGTAATTATATAGTTAATAAAAATAAATATAAATTATGTAAATATTTAAAAAAAATTTAATGTGTTTATTGATAAAATAAGTTTAAAAAAATACTTAATATATTCTTAACATCAACCTTTAT